ATTCACACCTGAGTTATACAAACTGTTCTCCTGAAGAAAGAGAAGTGTAGGGGTTTCAAGGAATAAGAAGGGGTGTGTGTGTGAGGAAGCTATGTACACGGCAGCAAAAACCCCTCGAACCCCACAGACTCCCAGACAAAGAGCACTATGCAATCTCATAGAAGAGGGTCCTTTGGTTTGGCAGCCAGTCCTAAAACCCAAATGAGCAGAATCAAAGACGATTCAGGATCATGTGTGATAAGCGTATTGTCGGGACTTTTCCCGTGTGCTTGGAGTGGTTTCTTTCACCATGGCTTCTTCTTCGTCATTCCAAGCCATCAATATGATGGCAAAGGTATCTGCAGCACAATTGGGGTTGGGGGGGAATGATTTTCCAAAGAGCAATAACCAGGGGTCATTTCCTGCAGGAGTGCACAGGAGCGGAGCTCTGGCAGTAAGGAGCCCAGGGGGCGGGCACATGCAACAAGCCACGCCCCCTGCTCCCAGCAGCCCTCAGTTGGGCTTTGAGGAACAAGAAGCAGCCAGGTAAGTTCCAGAGCCCCCCCGGCCCACCTTCAGGTACTAGCTCTCCCTCCTCTGTGAGGGCAGATCTGCGTTCCCCCGCCCCCCATAGCTAGCAATCCACAACAGTCCAGTGGCACCTTTAAGACCAAGTTGAGCCTGTGTGGTGGGTGTTGCCTTCTGACACACTACCAGTGATGTCAAGGGGCGTGGCATATGCAAATAAGTTATGCTAATACGTTATGCTAATGAACTCCTGCATCTCTTTTCCTACAAAATGACCCCTGGCAATAACATTAATATGTTGATGAAGGCTTTCACAGCTGGAGTTGTAGATTTTCCGGGCTGTAGATTTTCCAGGTCTTGGCATTGTAGGACCTGGCGTTTCGCCTGCAGCTGTGACGGGCATTCTCAGAGGTATAACACAGAAAGACGGAGTACTTCACACCTTGACACAGAGAGTAGTCCATCTTTCTGTGTTATACCTCTGAGGATGCCTGTCACAGCTGCTGGCGAAGCGTCAGGTCCTACAATGTCAAGACCAAGGCTATACAGCCCGGAAAATCTACAACTAAAGATAACATGAATGCGTTTTAGAATGACAAATCTTCTGGCCCCAAGACTCGAGCTCTTTTCTATGCTTAAAGTGAATGTTTGTTTGTTTTTTCTTAAAAGCAAGGGGCAGCAAATATGTGGAGGAGGGAAAGGCTGCTTTCTCCTTTCAAACTATTCCCCCCTCCCCCATCTTCTGGAGGAAAATATGCCTTTATCAATATGGGTGAAAAAGGAATTGGAGTGTTCTGAAAAAGCCCATTGTCTCTCCCCCAGTTACACTTGCAGCCTCCCATGGCTGCTTTTTATTTTGGCATTTTTATTTTTAAAAGGAGACTCTGGAGTGGTGTGCATTTATAACTGGAGCACCACGGAGACCCACCGGTGCTTTGCCTTGGCCACGCACACACGTGTTGTTGCACAGAATCACACCCCAAGTCATTAGCGGCGCCTTCCTATGCAACGCTCCCTCTAAGCTGTGGAGTCCTGTGAGCACAAACTCTACTTTGTGAGCTACTGGCATTCAAGTGGTGAGCAACCGACTTGGCTCCTGCATAAATTAGCTTGCTCTGGAGCCATCCTCCCTGAGTGAAGACAAAAATCTGGGAGCTGGAGGCTAAAAGACCGCGAGTAGCTCACACTAACTCAGCTTAGAGGGAACACTGCTCCTATGCACAGCTAGGGCCTTCTACGCCCACTGACTTCAATGGAGTGGGTGGTGATGTGGTGCAAAGCGCCATCAAGTCGCAGTCAACTGTGGGGGCTGTGGGGCCTGGCCCCCTAGTGTTTCTTCTTGGCCCCCTCCCTCCCGGGGCTGCCTCCAAAGTGCCCCAACTTACCACCTGCACTGTGCTTTGATTTAATTAGCTGGTGGGGCCCCCCAAGACCCCCTCCCCCCAAATTCCCTAGCTATGGGACTCATGGTGACCCCGTAGGGTTTTCCAAGCAAGAGAGATAGAGAGCTGGTTTGCCATCGCCTTCCTCCACATAGCAACACTGGACCTGCTTGGTGCTCTCCCAGCCAAGTCCTGATCAGGGCTTATCTTGTTCAGCTTCTGAGCTTTGATGAGTAGGATTGCCAGACCCCTGTTCTGGGTGGGGGCTCCCCCAATTTCAGGTGCTCCAATCCGCCATTGGCCAGATGGCGGCTGGGGAAGCCCCACCCCCAAACAGGGACGTCGCCGGGAAACGTCCCCAACTCGATGACTTCACCCGGAATTGATGCCATCGTGTCACTGACATCGGGTGGGTGATGCTCTAGTTTTGGGGCAAACTCTATGGTTTTGAAGGCAACCCCCCCTCCCCAAGAAGGGCTCTTTTTGTAGCAGGAACTCCTTTGCATATTAGGCCACACACCCCTAAGGTAGCCAATCCTCCAAGAGCTTACAGAGCTCTTCTTACAGGGGCTGCTGTAAGCTCTTGGAGGACTGGCTACATTAGGGGTGTGTCACTTAATATGCAAATGAGTACCTGCTACAAAAAGAGCCCTGCGCGGCGGCGTGAGTTCCAAGTAACGTCATCGCGCCGCACGTTTCCTGGGAAGGACCCGGGAGCCCCCTGCTGGATCTCAGGTAGGACCTGGCAACCGTACTGACGAGAGAGGGCTAGCCCGGGCCATCCAGGTCGGGAGAGAAATGAACAGAGGTGGTCGGCCCTTGACTGCCTCTGCGTGGCGACCCTGGACTTCTTTGGTGGTCTCCCATCCAAGTACTAAGCAGGGCCGACCCTCCTTAACTTCCGAGATGGGATGAGATCAGGCTAGTCTGGGCAACCCAGGTCAAGGCTCAGTGGACTTAGAAGCAGGCAGCTCTGTAGGATTGCACTGTTAGAAACCTATCCATCGGGGGGAGAAACGTAGAACTGGGAATCTGACAGCATGAATGCAGAAGACTTGAAAGTCTGGACTGCCCAGATCTTCTTTGGGAATGAAAATCTCTCCCCCCCCC